AAGAGCTGACTTTGAACGATGTCCTATTTGTGTCGGACATTCATAAGAACCTTGTCTCGAGGTTATTCTTAAGCCAACATGGCTTCTGCATGGTGTTTGAATCTGATAAGGTCGTGTTGACCAAGAGCGAAGTCTATGTGGGGAAGGGATATATGTCGGGTGGTATGTTTAAGCTAAATGTAATAACTATTATCCCAAAACTTAATGAGAAAGCTTCTTTTTCTGCTTATATTCTTGAGCCCCCTAATTTATGGCATGGTAGATTGGGTCATGTAAATTTGGACTCTTTGCATAGATTAATCAAGCTAGATCACATATTATCTTTTAAGATTAATCCAAATCACAAGTGTGAAATTTGTGTAGAAACAAAATTGACAAGGACTTCTTTTCATTATGTTGAAAGAAGTACCGGGCCTTTGGATTTAGTGCACAATGATGTGTGTGACTTGAAAGTCATACAATCACATGGTGGCAACAACTACATCATCACTTTTGTTGATGATTGCACTAAATACTGTTATGTGTATTTGCTTAAAAGCAAAGATGAGGCAATTGATAAATTTATTGTTTTCAAGAATGAAGTTGAGAATTAACTAAGCCAAAAGATCAAGGCTTTAAAAAGTGATTGTGATGGTGAGTAAGAATCCCCATTTACTAAGATTTGTGCTCAATTTGGGATTATTCACCAAACCACAACGCCTTTCTCCCCTCAGTCAAATGGTGTTGCTAAGTGGAAGAATAGAACGTCAAAAGAAATGACGAATGCAATGTTAATAAGTTCTGGGTTGCCATAGAACTTGTGGGGGGAAGCAATTCTCTCTGCGAATTATATTCTAAATAGAATGCCTCGGAAGAAAGTAGACAAGACTTCATATGAGTTATGGAAAGGCCGCAAACTTTCTTATAATTTCCTACAAATGTGGGGTGTCTTGTAAAAGTGGCAGTACCTACACCCAAGCGAGTTAGGATAGGTCCAAAAATCGTGGATTGCATATTCATTGGTTGTGCACACAATAGTAGTGCATATAAGTTTCTTGTGCACAAGTGTGATATTTCAGATTTCCACAAGAATACCATAATGGAGCCAACGAATGTGTCCTTCTTTGAAGACGTATTTCCTTGTCGAACCCAAGGAGAGGATCAAAGTTCTGAGAAGGAACTTGAAGATGATCAAGTAGATGATCAAGATAAGGAAGTAGATAAGCCAAGAAAGAGTAAGAGGGCTAGGACTACCAAGTCTTTTGGCACGTACTTCTTGACTTATATGTTAAAGGGAGAACCTCGAATTTTTCATGAAGTTGTGACTTCACCTGAAAGTCCCTAATGGAAAGAAGCAATTAATAGTGAAATTGACTCCATCCTACATAACCATACTTGGGAGTTGGTTGATCTACCCCTGGACAGTAAGGCCTTAGGGAGTAAATGGATCTTTAGAAGAAAGATGAAAGCGGAGCGGTCAATTGATAAGTATAAAGCTAGGCTAGTTATCAAAGGATACATGCAATGAGAAGGCCTGGATTACTTTGATACGTATTCACCTATAACAAGGATTACATCCATTCGCAAGGTAATTGCGACAACTGCTTTATGTGATCTGGAAATACATCAAATGGATGTAAAGATAACTTTCTTAAATGGAGATTTAAATGAAGAAATCTACATGGAGCAACCCGAAGGGTTTTCATCTCCAGGGAAAAATAAAGTCTGTGAGCTTGTCAAGTCATTATATGGTTTGAAGCAAGCTCCTCAGCAATGGCATGAGAAGTTTGACAACACTATATTGTCAAATGAGTTTAAAATCAATGAGTGTGACAAGTGCATTTATGTCAAAGACACTGATAGAGGTTATGTCATTTTGTGTCTATACGTAGATAACATACTCATTGTTGGTAGTAATAATGAAATGATTAGAACTACCAAGAGATTGTTAAACTCTAAGTTTGACATGAAAGATATTGGCCTTGCAGATGTCATTCTGGGTATTAAGATTACCAGAACATCTAGTGGTATTGTACTTTCTTAGTCTCACTATGTTGAGAAGATACTTGAGAAATTTGGTAAATCAGATACAAGTGTGTCCAGAACACAGGTAGACTTGAGTCTACATTTGAACAAGAATAATGGTGAGAGTGTCTCTCAGCTAGAATATTCTCGGGTCATTGGAAGTTTGATGTATCTGATGAGTTGTACAAAGCCAGATATAGCCTACTCTGTTAGTAGGCTTAGTAGATACACAAGTAATCCGAATGCCACTCATTGGAGGGGCATTATGCGGGTGTTAGGTTATCTACGCTATACCTAGGGTTATGGGCTGCATTATAGCAGATACCCAATGGTACTAGAAGGGTATAGTGATGCTAATTGGATATCTAATATGAAGGACTCCAAATTCACTAGTGGTTATGTGTTTACCCTCAAAGGGGCAGCCGGGTCTTGGAAATCGTCCAAGCAAATGTGTATATCGAGATCAACGATGGAATCTAAGTTTATTGCTTTGGATAAAGCAACTGACAAAGCTGAATGGCTTTGCCAGTTCGTTAAGGATATTCCACGTTGGCTGAAACCTGTGCCTGCTATCTATATTCATTGTGATAGCTAATCGACAATTGGACGGGGCACAGAGTAATATGTATAATAAAAAGTTTAGACATATTCGTCGTAGACATAATTCCATATGACAACTACTCTCTAATGGAGTTGTCTCTCTAGACTATGTAAAGTCTAAGGATAATATTGTGGATCCACTAACCAAAGGTTTAATTCGAGAGTTAGTAGAAACATCATCAAGAGGAATGGGGTTAAGGCCTTTAGTGTTGTTACTAGAACGGAAAACCTAACATAGTTGACTAGAGATCCCAAGATCTAGGTTCAAAGGGACAACCTAATTTCATGTAACGGGTGAGCCACTAAAGAAATAAATCCTCTTGCTCATTCCTTTGTACAGTGATACCCTGTAGGGGTAGAAGGTTAAGTTAATGCTTTTAATGACCTAAGTGGTATGAATAATTAACCATGGTATAATGAAATACCTTATATAGGTCACCTATGTGAGTGTGAGGTGGGGCCACTTCTTTAAGAATTGGTAAGGCCAAGTTCTTTAAAAACACTCACTAAACCAGGCTAGTATTCCAGGGCCATACCGGACACACTAGTGGGAACAAGAACAATTGTTAGACTAACTCCTATGTGAGGTCTATTGTCTCGGTTTACACGAACGACAGAACAATTCAAGACATCACGTTCACTGATCAGCCAGTAAATCTGATAGGCTTTCACTACGAAAGGTTCAAGGCCAACAACTACCTCTTCTGATACAGGGTTAGTCTTTGTGCTCTCTCTCCGAGTCTTTGTTGTAAACGTTGTCTGTTTTCTTTGTTCAGTCAATTTTTATTCATATGGGGGATTTTTGGGAAAAAAATGGTTTCATGGTTAAAGTAGGTCCCAACCATTGGTTGAGGTGGGATTAAATGGGTTTAGATTCTTTGTAACAATGTCTTTACACCATAAAAAGAATGACCAAAAATCATTAAGAATTGAATGAGAAATTGTCTCAAAAAGTTGGCCTCATGCATGAGGTATTGGGAATTGTATATAACTACTAATCTCACATTGATTGTAAAGGAAAGGTTTGATGGGTATTTAAACCTCAAGATTTTGATAAGGGCATGAGCCCTTTGGGGCATCCAAATTTTCCAAAGGAAAGGAGTTATGGATGCTTCAAGGATGGGCTTGGGCCATAACTATGGTCCAAGTTGGTTATGCAAAAATTGTCACACACAAGCACGCGCTCGCCGCCTGACCGCTTGGACAGGGCCAGGGCCGAGTCCATGATCCATGATTCGTAGATCTTAGGCTTGGGCTTGCTGGAATGGGTTAGGTTTGGGCTAGGCTGAATTGGTGGTCCACCAACCTAATCTTTTTTGATCAAGTCTGCAGTAGATATACACACGTGTATATAAAAGTATGTAACTTATATACTAATTGACCCATCAGTTTTGGTGCATTACTCTAGCAGTTTTATAGGAGTAATGGCCTGCATTTGCTGCCAACCTTGATGGCTAGAGACTCCTCCTCTCTCCCCTGTGGTGTATACAAAGAGGCCTATCTTCCTTGGTTTGATACAACAAATTTTGGTTTCTAGGTTATACAGTCAGTTTGCTTGCTCCTACAATTATCTTCCTGTGTATGAGAGTGCTGCCATTGTTAGTTCGCCAAAGTTAACAAAAGATGCTTCTGCGTTAGCCTGTCTAAACCATCGTATCCTGGGAGACAGAAGTCGACATATCTCCAGCACTTACGGTGAGGCAGCTAATCTATTTTAAAGAGATTGTGGTATCACACAGGCTCCAGTTTGTGCTTTTTTTCCTTATTTTTTGTTATATGTATTTTTTTTTTCATAAAGTTGTATGGTGTGATTCCATGATTTCTTTTCTTGTAAATCAATTTCATTTCGTATGAATCTCTTTGTTTTATTTAATTGCATAATTTGAACAGCACATCTTTTGTTTTTTTCTTCATTTTCCTCATTCTTCTTCTTTTTCACTTATAACATGATGTGGAGCATGGTTCTAGATGGTAACGGAGCTGGTGGTGGTAATGATGGTAGTCCGACGATTGCGACGGAGCTCGCGGTGATGGTGCTCTTGGAGCTTGATAGTAGTGGTAATGGTACTTGGTTGTGAAGAAGGTGGGTTTGGTGCTGAAAGGTGGTGGTGGTGATGCTCATGGTGGTGGTAATGGAGTTCGGTGGTGGTAAAGTTAGTGGTTCAGGTGGTGATGTTAACGAAGAGATGATATGTATATATATATATATAGATAATTGATATGGGTTTGAGAGAATATTGGTACGGCCAAATTTAGGTTTGAGAGAAGTTGATAAAGAGATTATATGTGTACACATATGTGTGTGTGTGTATTGAGTGAGTGAAGGTTTGAGAGAAGTTGATGAAGAGATGATATGTGTAACGTTCCACCAAAATCTTTCCACATAACAGTTGGTATACACATACCCCTCAAACATACACAGAATTCCATCAAAATAATTCTCTTTCTCATTGAAATGCAAATCGGTTTACAAAACAATTACATACTATTTATCCCTGTTCAATGGGCTAGAGAAGATTTCAAAACAATTACAATGTTTGTTCTAGTTTCACTAATTACATTGGAACCTTTACAAAACACAATTTACAAGTCCAAATCCAAAATAAACAAAAGAGTTCCAAGCTTCATTACAGTTTTAATTTACAAAGAGAAGTCCTTGCAAAAAATAAGAAAAGTAGAAACTTCATTTTTTTCATCCCATTCTACTTCCTTCACGGGTTTGAGGTTCTTCGATTCCTAAAAAGTTAGTAGATAGGAATGAGCGTTTTGCCCAGTAGAGAATAACTTTAACCAGTTATATGAACATTTGATAAAAACATGTATGAATCAATTATAAATGAACAAGATTCTTTTATATACTCCTCTCATTATTTTGTAACTACCATGCATAACCAACCACCACACTTTTCCATCCTCACACGGATGGTACGTGGACACCTCAAACCTTTCCACTTTCGTCGTCCTCATACGAACCGGCCAGTGGAAGCCTCATACATCTCCACATTTTGCACACTGACTAGACAGTGGGCACCTCGAACATAGCCCCACATTTTTCCATCCTTACACGACCGGCAAGTGGACACCTCAGACACACTCTATAACATTTAAATTTCCCCATACCATCTCAACCATTTCCATAATTTCCCAATTTTTACATATTCAAATCCATTCAATCCAAAATCAAGAACAAACCTCTAGGGTTCTCATGAGAATTGGGGCTTCTCCTTCCACTCATTCCTTTCCCTTGATTCAAGTATATTTACACATTATTCCATAGTTAATATCATAATCCATCATCAATTTCATGAAGCATTTCTTTATATACAACCCATATATATATATATATATTTACATATATACAGTCATCTCAACAACCCATACACCTTTAAATTCATATCTATTTAAACCAAAATATGGATATACAAGGATAAAGATATTCCTACCTCAAGGTTGCACAAGTAAAGATAAAGGTCCACCAGCTGAGCTCTTGAAACACCACGATCTAATCGGTTCAAAATGTAGCTTTTGACGAGGACAACAACTTTAATAAAAGAGCTAAGATGGATTCTTGCTCTATCTTGATGAAATCTAGAGTTTCTTAACTAGGTTTTTCGAAAAAAGGAGAAAAAGAAGAGAAAAGTGATGAAAAGTGGGTTTAAAATGAGTTCAGATTGTGTTTTAAAGTCTGTTGTCCCGACATGACCGCTTGAATAAGACTTCCATGGCTCCAGCGAAGTGCGACAATACTGAGGGACCGCTTGAGCGACAAAAACAAAGTCTTAGAAGTTTTGCAGAGCTACAGTGAAAATACTGGGAGCTCACAATTTATGCTCGAACGACAACTCTTTCGCTTGAGCGGTGTCGCCTGTAAACCTAAGAGATACTGGAAGCAACAATTCTCTACTCAAGCGATAACTCATGTGCTCGAGTGGTCACCCAAAGTTAGCTCTTACAATACATACATATATATATATATATATATATTGAGTGACTTAATTTAGGTTTGAGAAAAGTATTACAGTCAATGACTTAAAAAAGTATTACAATCACTGCATGCCTCATCCACATATTACAATTATAGCATGCCTTATCCACATAAAGTATTACAATCTGTGGTTCTTAAAATATAAAAATAATTCAAACCACCACAACTATGAATAGAGCAGCAGTAGAGATTGGCTTGTTTGGTTTGTATTTGAGAAACATGTTTTGAGATAAAAAGTACGAAAATTTGTTTGGTTTGGTTTTTTTTCAAAAGATGTTTTGAAAAATTATTTTGAAAGAGAGTTTTGGAAAAAGTGATTGATTTGATGTGTATGAGAGAGAGATTTGTTTGGAAAACTTGTAAACCAAACAAGTTTTGGAAAAAAAATTTGGAAAAATTTGTTTGGTTTGATTACTTTTGAAAACTTATTTGTAGAGAATTTTTCCCAAAATTTTTTGAGAAACACAAACCAAACAAGGCCTGTATGCCTCTGCATTGTTACATCTATATCTGTTTTTGAAAACAAAAACTAACCAGCATATATCGTCTTTTTTATTTATTATTTTTAGAGTTAGATTTAAAAACTAAAAAATATAGATAAATAATACATTTATTTTTTTCAATTCAAAAAATATATTCAAGTTGAAAACTCTTTTTCAACAGAACAAGTCAACATAATATTTAAATTCTTTTTCAATTAAAAATATAAATAGAATATCTAAATAAATTGAAAATGTAAAGTCTTACAAACTACTAGGGGTGCTCGTGATTTGGCGGTTCGGTTGTGGCCAAAAGAACATTAAATCCGCCATCCATCCAAAACTAGAAGCATTGAAAAAAATCAATCTGTAACCGTCCGCTCGTCATCACGCATCCGTCCAAAATACGGCGGATCGGTTCTGTTTGGTCGGTTTGGACGGATCAATATATCTGCTGCTCACCCCTAGTGGTCGCGATGGCGGTGGTTGAGAAATAGTAGCGTATGAAAGAAAGGGAATGGGAAGGCAGGTGTTTTTGGTGGTTCTGTTCAAGAAGAAGAATAGAGAGGGAGAGAGAGATAAAGAGGGAATAGGAAGGAGACATGAGAATACAGAGGGAGAGACAGATAAAGAGGGAATGGAGAGGAGACGTGCGTAGGTGGAAAGGCTAAGGGAGAGAAATGCTTGGGCGAGAAGTAAATGTATCTGAATCATTGATATATACTTTAGGATTGATTTAGACCATTTAAATCAAATGTATCTCTAATACATTTTCAAAAATAGTCATGTTTTATTATATATATATATACATACATACATGATTTGAAGCATATAGAAGAAAAAAAAAGACAAAAAGATCAACATTAGAAAATTGAATAGATATCTATATAGCAAGAAGAATGAAGAAAATCTACAGATTTTACCACTTGAGAATGATAAAACATTTTTTTTTTTTTTCATTTCGGAACCATCCTCTTTCCTTTCTTCGAATAATGATAATTTCCAATTCATTAATACAAGACCAACAAGTAGAGAATGAATGCTTATCTATTTGTCCTTTGACAATGGAAAGTCTTTGTTAGAAGCAAAGAATAAACCCCTTGAAAGTTTTTTGGAATTTAAGGTTTTCCTTGGTCCTTATAAATGCAAAACTCCATTGATTTATTTCTTCCATAGCTGTAACATTTTTCATGTTGGTTTTCTCTCTGTTTGTATCAGCTTTATCCTTATAATTGACTCGTGTGTATTTTTACATCATCCTTCCTTATAATATTTTCACAGATATGTAAGACTAATAGAATCACCATTGAGAAATCTACATATTTAATTGATGAATTATAAAAGAGCAATGTAACATTCTTCAATTCGATGGTTTTTATTTTTAAAATTTTTCCTTATATACTAGAAGTCCTACTTGGTGGATTTAACCCTTTATTTTCATAGTTTTTGGAAGCAATTACCCTATTTCATGAGCTCATTTCCCCTCCCCCCTCCTCAACAATAGATAACTTGAACAAATAACAGAGTGTATTTGGTTTGGTTTTGGGAGATAAATTTTCAAAAAAAAAATTTGGCAAAGAGTTTAGAATTTTTTTTGGTTTGCTTGGTTGTATATTTTGGAAATAGTGTTGGAGTATGGGAGTTTGGGATGATTTCATATTTTGTTGTAGTTAAGTAGATGTGTGTGAGAGAAAAAGTGATTGAGAATGAGAGAGGAGAAAGAGAAAAAGTGATTGATTAATGTGTAGGAGTGAGAAAGTGATTTTGGAAAAAAATTTCCAAAATCACTAAACCAAACAAAATTTTAGAAATTTTTTTCAAAATTTGTTACTCAAAAACAAACCAAACAAGGCCTTATATAAGAAAAGATGAAATAAACAACGCACCTACACATTGTTCTTACTTCAAAGAGCGAGGGAGTTCCAAAAGTGTGCTTCTGAATTGATTCCTAAAAGATTAGTATAACAAAAAAATAACATTCAATTGCTATGGCAATCAGACCTTTGTCAAGAAAACTGTCACATTCAATTGCTACTATACAAAGGTGAGTTAATGAATATAAACCCTACTACAATGCAAAGCTAATCCAATCCCCACACCAAGTCAATCACAGGAAGTCATAGATGAATTCTCTAAGATCTCTTCTTCCTAATAATATATGAGTATTCATCTAAGAGTTCAACACCAAAGCAAGATTATCAACAATATATATATATATATATATTTTAACTATGATATTAAATTTTAATATGATAAATGCTTGGAGCACTAGAAGATCACTTACCCATTCCTATCAGCAGCGTTTCCTCCTCCATGTCAGAACTGTTCCACCACTCCCATATTCAAACTATGATAAGTAGAGCAAAGCATGTCAAGAGATTACTTGATATGAACACAAAGAACACAAAAAGAGTCACTTCAACGACCAAAGGGGAACTATACTTCCCAAACAATGTTGGATGCAGCTGCAATAGTAAACTAAGTATTAACTACCAACAATAATGGGTGCCTTTGAGTGGAAGTGTTTGTCATTAATTAATAAAAAAAACATTTGCCAAGTAGCATAAAGGAACTCCTTTGTCTATAAGAAAATTTTGTATGCTTTCACACAAACACTTGATTAATAAAAATTCTTACAAAATTTCATCCAGTCAATATATATATTCATTTAATGCCCGTAACCAACTTTCTTTGGAATAGAGAGAAATTATAATTTACATTTACCCCATTACACTACCGAAGAAACCTATTCAATTTGCAACTTCTCAACAATCAACAAAATCAACACCTCCAAATTTTTTAACAAATACCTCAAGTTAACACCATTTTCAAATTTTTGAAACCAAAAGAAACCTAATCTGTGCATGCACTACTTGCATATATCGAATTATTAGTCATAAAAAATAATTAAATAAAATCTCACACACACTACCTCCCCACCCTTACTTCTTCTAACTTCTTTGGCCATTTATCATTTATTAAAGTTGCTTGTGACATACAAAATTGCTTCTTAAATAAATAAATTTTGTTTAAAAAAATCCAGATAAGAAAAGGAATTACAATTGTTCTTGAATGCATAACAAGCATTGGATGCCAATGATGCTGACATGGAGACCATAGAGCTAAATTAATGTTTAATGATTTGTGTACAATGTCTATGCATCTTTTTAAATTATTATTGGGCAATGGCAATTGGCAGGTGCAATTCACATTTCAATCCAAAAAAATAACAAAAAACCAATTGAACATGAATCAAATATTTTTCCCTAGAAAATAAAAAAAAAAATAATTAAAAAAAAAGCCCAGCAATGAATTTAAATATAAAAATCCCAAAACTCAAGAAAATATAAATGTTTTTGTATCACCAAAAAGCCAATTGAACACGAGTCAAATATTTTTCCCTAGAAAAAAAAAATCCAACGATGAATTTAAATATAAAAAACCAAAAACCCAGAAAAAATATTAATATTTTTGTATCACCAAAAAGCCAATTGAACATAAATCAAATATTGTTCCTTGGAGAAAAAAAAAACAGCTCCGATTCGTAGCTCGAATTTAGCGTGGCTCGAATGGCCCGACATCAAAACGACGTCGTTTTGATGTTTTTTTTTCCTGCGTTTTTCTGCAGATTTTTCTGATGAAGAAGAAAAACAAAAGGAAGAAGAAGAAGGGTGGGTCTGCAGATCTTGTTCATCATCTTCATCAACATCAACAAATTGCAACAACATCATCATCATCATTGCGAAGATCAGAAAAAAAAAAAAAAAAATTCTTTGATTGATAGATCTACCAATTCTTTGATTTCTGATTCTTTGATAGATCTACCAATTCTTTGACATCAAGAACAAGAAAAAAATCAGAAAAAAAAAAAATCAAGAACATCATCATCATCAACACATCAGCCAACAATTGCCAACAACTATTTATTTATTTTTTCTTTCATCTTCAGAACAACATCAAGAACAAAACAAAAATCAGGAAAAAAAAAATCAAGATCTTCATCATCTTCAACATCATCATCATCTTCCTCATCAACAAATTTTATTTTTTCAACTAATCTTCAGATCCAGATCAAATCCAGATCAATTAAAAAAAAGTTTGAAAGAGGAGATCGGGCCGTCGATCGCCGCCACCATCACCGACCATCACCGTCAATCGCCTCTTGCCGCCACCATCACCAATCATCACCGTCGATCGCCTCTTCTCTTCTCTCCTCTCTTCTCTCTCTCTCTCTCTCTCTCTCTGTTCGAAAGAATGAAAAGGAAAGAATGAAAAGAAGAAGAAAAACAAATCAGAAAAAAAAAACACTGCCCAAAACGATGTCGTTTTGGGCAGTTCGGGCCATTCGAGCCGACCGAAATTCGAGCTACGAGTCATTTTGCAAAAAAAAAAAGACAAAAAACAAAAAGTCCAGCCATCTTAAAATGGAATAAGTTGAAGAAAAATTAAGCCTTTAGGAGTAAAAATCTTCTTCTCTAAAAACAATCTTCCATCAAACAAAACAAAACCCATAGAATGTTTTTTTTTTTTTGCTGCCATAAGTAATATATGGATTGTATAAGAAAACTAAACCTGGTTACTGGAACTAAGAAGAAAAAAATTTCTAGACTAATGTTGTGTTTGGTTGGGGGATTTGGAAAGAGAAATGGAAAAGGTAGGTGAAATGTGAATAAAACATACATACATTTCACACACCTTTTCCCTTTCTCTTTCCAAATCCCTCTCCAAATCCCCTAACCAAACACAGCGTAAAAGACTGAGGCACCTATCATTGAAACAGTAATGGTGTCATACCGAGAAAAGAGAAGGATATGCATGGCTATCAACACAAAGATGCCGAAGAGAGCTCCACGTGATTTGCAGCGAATGGAAGTAGGGGACCTTTTTTTGGACTCAATCTGTTGGATTTAACAAGATAAAAGTAGAGCTGCCATCTCACACTTCTATACACTGCATACACACACATACACATATGTATACATTACCGAGAAAATCAAATCAAAATCTTTATATTTTACAAATAAGAAAATCAAATAGATAACTATAATAAAACAATAAAAGGGTTTCGATTGAACATAGAAGAAGGGACAAACAGATCAGATATACATGTATGGACATATGTAGAGAGAGATATAGAGAGAGAGGGGAAAATTTGGTTATCAAAGAAAGGGCAATGGTGGATTATCCCAAGGTTTTAATATATAGAGAAAAATGGGGATTTGTAGAGAGAGGAAGAGAGAGAGAGAGAGAGAGAAGCAAACCTAGCAGTCGATCGGCAACCCTTCTCAGGCGATCCAATCTGATCTGGTCTGATCTGGATTAGAAGCAAACCCTTTTGTGCTTTTTTATTAGAAGCCAAAGAGTTGGGGATTGTTTCTTTTTTCTTTTTCTAATATATTTCTTTGGTGCTTGGCACTAGAGATTTGTATTTTGACGCTAATTAGGGGATTAAGTTTTTGCGCTGGTTTGAAAAACCGTTGCAAATTAATAAAAATGCAAAAAAATAAAATCTTCTACGACAATTTTTGGCTATTTGTCTCTAATAATAGCATCTGCAATGGTTCATCAGATTTTTCATCAAATCTGAGTAAAAAAAAAAGACGATTTCCTCTATTTGATATCGCCTGCTCCAACGGAGAAATTTGGCTTTTCATCAAACTGTCGGTCGACCGGTCGAACGACTAGCCAATGTGAAAAAATGAAAAACCTGGTTTCTGAAACAATTAGCGTTGTTGTGTTGTGTTGGGGCTGTTTTGAAACAATTCAAAAAATCTCACTCACTCTGTTTCTCTCTTTATAATCCCTTTATAGGCAAACCATTTTTTATCATACTAGCATCAACTCCTTCCTTCTCTCTCTTCACTACATCAAACTTGAGTGAAAATTTATAGAAGAAAGAAGAAAGATTCAATTTTTGTTTATCGATTTCGGATTTAATGGAGTTTCTACTTCTGGGTTTTTGATTATACATCATTACGGAGACTTCTATGTGTGTGTTTGGTTGATTTTTGATTTTTTCTTTAGCTTTGCTATTGAGATATACTGTTGATTATTTCTTCCCTTATTTTTTTTTTTTTTTTTACTGAGAAAACAAAGAGGTGGTCGATCGAAGGGTCGACCTCCCAATGTAAAATTTTCACAAAATTTTGCTTGAGGTGGTCATCCGGGAGGACGTCCAGCCGGTCGGCCGGTGGGTCCACACTCAACGTCTACGCACAATAATTTGCTGAAAGGTGCAACACATCTTCAGTTTGATGAAAATTTGGAGCTGTTCTCAATTTGATATCAGTTTGATAAAATCATTAGAGCCAAAAAAGATGTACTTTTTCACCAAATTCAAATTTGGTGATACATTTGTTTAACCATTGGAGATGGTTTAATAGTATTTATCTAGTACTTTTTTTGGGAAAAGTCACTTGTTGTTGCAAAAAAAATGATTTCGCAACGGATTTTTTACAATTGTAAATGCTTATTTTTTGCAACGATTTTGAAATCGTTGCAAAAGGTTTCATATCTATAATCCCATTTTCTAGTAGTGTTAGCATTTGCCCTGATGCACATTCATTCACCCTATCATACATTCCTTCCTAGATGGGTAATTCTTCTCATTAGTTTATCGTTACAAAAAAATTATTTGGTGCTCTTAGAGTGTCACATGTTCATGTTCTTCGCTAATCATCATATATTATGCCTTCTCATGTTCTCTAATTACTTAATACAAAAATCAAAAATTCCATCTTCTTTACTAATCACAGCACTCATAAAACATTACGTGACCGTATCCAAGAACACCTAATAATTACTTCTCATTATAACATTCATAATTAAAAAGTAGTAAATGAAAAGGAAAAAGACAACTTACAAAACAAAGATGTTAGAATGACAAGATAATTGATCAAAGATCGAGATTGATTTGCAAACAAAAAGTTGAAACCCTCTATATTCTTAGCGTAGTGGCCAACAACTCCATTTTGTAGCTCGAATTTTCTGTGGCTTGAGCGGCTCAAAATCCCAAAATGACGTCGTTTTGGGATTTTTTTTTTTTTTTTATTTTTTTCTTCATTTTTTTTTTTCCCCCCATTTTCTTCATCGTTTTCCATAACTCAACAGAAGAAGAAAGAAAAAAGGAGAAGAAGAAGAAAGAAAGAAAGAAAAAGAAGAAAGAAGAGGAGGAGATCATCAATAAACACACACACACATATATCTGGAGATCATCAACACGACATCATCATAATCATTATCATCAACAACCAACACATCATATAGAAGAAGAAGAAGAAAGAACACAAACACAAATCAAACCCCCCCCCACACACACACAGAGCGGCAGCGGAAGAACCTGCACACATAGAACCAGCACGAGTCTCGTCGGTGACAGCACCAACCTCGTCGGCACACACAGAAATCGACGATATGGGTCGCAATATGGGTTTCCTCTCTCTCTCTCTCTCTCTCCTCTGTTTATCTTTTTAGTTTTTTTTAATTTGAAATGAAACGAAAAACTGAGATGAATGACAAACGGGAGTGTACAAAGATATGTGGGTGGGTATAAAAGTCAGGCCATATTCGAGCCCCAGATTTCCAGCTACCAATCTTTTTTGTAGTGGCCAATTGTAATGTGTAGACGTCCCCGAACGCCCCGGGAGGGACGAGTCCCTGTTCCGTTCGATATTGGGCTCACTACAGTTCAGGACTCTAAAATGTCACGGCTCTTAATCTGAACCAAAGAGTCCAAATCCGGCAAATCGTTTTGAGAAAACAGATTTTTAGAAAAGAAGTGCCAAACATGGACTGCTTTGCCAGATACAGAGTCGCCACCTAAATATTTTTTAAGGGGGAATTTAGGAAACCCTGACTCGGTGCCAAAGGCCACGTGTCCGTCATCACCAAAGTTGCCTCGGCTCGGGAGCTTGGGTACGATTGGGGAAGGTCAGCTATGAGCACCCCCTCTCGCCCGATCCGAAGATCGGCCTC